GAGGTGAGTACCGCTTCGTTATCACCAAACTATTCCGACCGTACTCACGATTCTTACCGCTCATGGCATTCGACGACGTTTATCTTGTGACGTTCGTACTCGGCGTCATCCGCGAATTAGGAGTAGTAACGAGAGATGAATAATACGAGCTCGCGCGTTTGATCGCGAAACACGCCACGCCATGCCGTGCCGTGCCGTGCCGTGCCGTGCCGTTGGATCTGTCGGGAGACATTGAATCGCATCGACGCGCTGTGAGATTGACCATTGCTGGCTGCCGTCGCGCCGCGCCGCGGCGGCGGCAGCCCGTGACCGCCGCCGATACGGATTTTCCCGCCTGCTCGGCGTCTTCTACGCATCGCCGTGGACCGATCGTGGGCCGTCACCGCCGCGCGAAGCGTGGCGAAACGTGCTCCATGTAGCCCGCTGTAGCCTCCATGTAGTCCGCGCCGCCGAGCGACGGTACAGCGTAGCGAGAAGAACGCCGCGCCGGCCGGCATTTCTTCGGCGCGGCAGACTCCATATTTCCGTGCGAGCGACTCCGAGCGTAGTCGAGCGCGCTCGATCGGACGCGTGGCGTGCAGGCTATGTATTTCTCTCGGCGCGTAGTGCTTTCTCATCGCGGACGCGAGGGACGCTATTGTGTATTTGTGAGACCATCGCTAACGCGACGAGTCTCTCTCTCTCTCTCTCTCTCTCTCTCTTTTTCTTTCTTTCTTTCCCTTTTTCCGTCTTCGCTAGCTCGCTCGCTTGTTCTCGCCCGATGGCTGACGATGATGATAATGACGATGGCGATGACGACTCCTACCGGAATAAGCTATAATTACCGCGTTCCGCGCTCCAAGTCGTGAAATTCGAAGCAACGCTGGAAATCTTGACGCGTTCGCGCGCGCATGGAAAGGAAGAAACGAATAGGTGAGAGCGTTGTTTAGCGTTAGGGAAACGGAGGTGGGTAGAAGAGAGAGAGAGAGGGAACAATCGGAGAAACGAAGTAAATCTCTACGGCGCCATGTGCTAGTTTCTCGTGTTGGTCTTTTTTTTTCCCCCCCGTTCGGCGAGATTTCGTCTCCTCGCGGCTTTTCGTCTCTATGCGCCCTCTACCTATGAACGCGCACACCGCCGCCGCTTCGATGCTCGGCACGCTTCGTTACCCAAGCATCATTTTCACGTAGTAGATAGTGTCAGCGTGGAGATTCGGAAAAGCGGATATGCCGCGCATTTTTTTTCTTCACCTCCCTGGCCTGGCGGCCATCAGGCCGTCACCATTGTCGTCGTACTATCATCGCCACCCGCCGTTTGTCGCTTTCCATCATGGCGGCCAAAACCAAGCCTGCGTTCATCATTCGTTCTCTCTCTCTGACAAGCTTACGCGTTCTCTTTCTACTGTAATTGATCGATAATTCGCTATAAGAGAGTCAACGTCGAAATACGATCGATAGACAACCGACGCGTCTATCTACTTCAGGTCGACATGTCGTCCTGAAATTGTTTACCAATTCGCGCGCATAAATTCCATGACGAAGGCTTCCTTTTCTCTCGCTCCGATTGTACGAGCATTTCCCTTCCCTATCCATCTCTCTTTCTCTCTCTCTCTCCCTCTCCCTCTCCCTCTCGCACTCCGTTGCTCGACACTGCCGATGTATAGCCGGCAGTGCCGAGTAGTGAGTAGCGACGGCGGCTCGCTCCGTCCTTCTCTTTCGATCTTTTCGCCGAAGGTACCCCACTTGCGCAGCTAGCGGCAACGCCGTGCATTATATACTCGGTGTGTGCTCTCCTACCTCTCCTTATTCTTTTCGCGGCTGTGGCGGTCGCGCGCAACGGCGCGTTACTACGAACCTTCGAGAAAACATCGTTGCCGCGATTTTTCATCTTAAATCGCCGCCCGTCGCGTCGTCGGCCGTGTCGCCGCGATAGGCCGTATTTTTAGCCGATAATTTACCATGAGATTGCGTCTCCGCGTAAGACAAAAATGAACGTACGGAGCGAATGAATGCCGAACGGCGGCAAATCCAGAGAAACCGCGTTGCCGCAGATTTTTCCGCTGCCGCGTCAATCACGTGGAGAGGTACGATACTACACTTACGCACGTTCACGCAGGTCGATGTGTCCTTGTTACATCGGTGATTCCTCCCGAGTATCTATTAGATCGCGCGCGCGCGCGCAAATGACAGAGGAGAGGCCAGTAGAAAGGCGGATGACTTTCGAGCGTTTTTCCCCTAATATATATATATATATATTTATTTAGGACATCTTTTTCATACACATACTCGTATAAAATGATAAGAAATACGCTTACATCTACGCGCGCGCGCGCACACACACACACACACACACACACACACAGGCGCGCGCGCGCGCGCGCGCGTGGAGATTAGTATCGTTCCGGAACCGGCGAGCGGGAAAAGGCGGGAAGCTCGAGGTCGAGGGAGAAGAGTTGAATGAAATCGCGTTTGTATGCTGTGAGTACGTTTGAAAGAGACATTGGCTGTATTCAGCGGAGAAAACTAATCTGTTAGTGTTTGGTGATTTCTTTAATATGATTGGTTCTTGCCTTTAATTCTTCGTTTAATCCAAGAACCAATCGTATTAAAGAATCACTAACTGATTAGTTTTCTCTGCTGAACGCAGCCATTCGCTCCGCTTTTTCGGCTTTCCAGAGCTTGCTGAAATCATTCTCTCTCTCTTTCTTTTTATCTCAGTATCGATACGACGTGACCATTGTTTGGCGATCGAATGGTGTTTCTCTACTGAGAGAAGGCGGGAAAAGGCGTCGCGACGATTGGATAACGCAGTTATGGATCGATGTTCCGCCAGCCAGAAATAACTTATTACATTTAATGGTTATCATCGTGTTTCTCTCTCTCTCTCTCTCTCTCTCTTTCTCGTGGCTTTTAACTTTTCGCGCGCGAACCTTTTTATTGCTTAATTATCTTAATAGACCAGCGTAAATATGCGTTTTATATCAGTTTTAAACATGCTGATTGATGGTTTATTTTTATTCATCATTTATTTTCTCGAAACTTGAAGTTTTCGTCAGAAACTGGATAAGGATTGCTACGATAAGAAGGAATTTGGCGCTAGTGATTCCGCTGAGAAAACGCGTTTAACGAACGCATTCGCGTAGATTACCGATCTTGCTGATAATCCACCGATTAACACACATCACGTGTTAATTACGTAATGGGCGTTCATCGCGCCGATCGTTCGAAGAAATTACATGAGCATATAGAGTCTATACGATAGGTTATGAGTATTGGGTTATCTGCGAGACCTTACGATTGGGAATGGATAGATAGGTAATCGTGCGGGGAGCACATAATAACAAGCGGCAGCATCTCCGTCATCGTCATCGTCGTCGTCGAGCGACCAACCAACGGCATGAATGTGCTACTGTCATTCACGTTGAGACGCCGTACACTCGCGAGTTGACGAATAGGAGTAGCGGCGGCTGCGAGCTGCCGGCGAGTTCGAAATAACCCGCGCGTCAGCTTTTCGATCGGGTTACTATTGTTTGTAGATGCCGGTGGTAACCGATCTCTCATTAGCATTTTATCGCAACAGGTCGAGACTCCATATACGGTGATACAATTACTCCAGGTTGAGTTAGAGAGAGAGAGAGGGGGGGGGTGGGAGAAGAGAAAGAGCATAACATTGATTGAGTGACGAGTGTTTCTCGATCTTGCTTCGAGATACTTGCCGCCATTGAAAACCAAATTGCGCGTCATCGCTTTAGTTACTTCTGGTATTATTAATATAGATAATAAATATAGATAATTTGGTATTATTATTATTATTATTATCTAGCAACAATATAATAGATCAATCGCGCTTTCGACGTGATAGTGCGGGGCATCTATTCCGCGATAATTCTTCTCCCGTTCGACCATGGCGATATCCGTCGTGATATCGTCATGGAATGCTCGGCTCTTTTTAGTTTAGATTTATACTCTTATTCGAAGGCTTCGCGTTGCACGACACTTGGCACGCTGCTTCAGTTATATCTTCCTCCCTTATCTTCTCCTCAGTTACTTCGCTCGCTCACTCGCGAATTGCACGCAGCGCAAACGTACCACCACCACCACCACCACCACCACCACCACCACTACCACCACCACCACCACCACATCACCACCACTACCACCACCACCACCACCAGCACCACTACCACCACCACCACCACATCACCACATCACTACTACATACTACCATCACCATCACACTGCTGCCATCGTCATCACCATCACTATCAGCTCCTACTCTACCACCATGATCAGTCAGCTACGCCGTATGGTCACGAGTCCGGCGTTACCGACGCGGTTCTTGCAGCCGTGCACAGTATAAAACTGGAGCGACATTAAAATATGCCGAATGTTGGAAACCGTTGCGGAGAGTCGCTCCAACACTTTTAAACATATCGGAGCGGTCGCCATGCTACTCATCACGCTGTATTTTATCGTGGCGATCTCGATCGCTGTCGCGATAAGTCGCATTCCAAAATAATACATCAAACGATTTCGGGATTCTCGTTGTCGGCATGTTTTCAGATTGCCCTCGGAGCAAACTCGGCTCTCGGCTGCTGTCGTTCTCCCCTTCTCTCTCAAAATCGATAAACTATGATACTTATTGCGTTATGGCCATTACGGGCCATCGGGACTGGATCAAGGGCATGGTTCTACAACTGGAAGATGGGGGGGGGGAGGGGAAGGGGAATTATCGTTGCACGCGTGTGTAGGCGATTTTAGAGTTTACATTCCCTTTTGCCTACTTTGTGTAAAGTACGTTAACCAATCTCTCTCTCGCTCCCTCGCTCCCTCTTTTTCGTACGCGCAACACGCGCGCGCACACGCACACACCTTTAGCACGCGCCGCTTTGAAGTACGCGGGGGCGAAGTCACAGGACAGCTTCGCGAGCTAAACGTTTATCGGTAAAGTTGTGATACTCTCTACTACCTGTTCTTCATGTTTTCGACTCTGCCGGATCGCTCAGTTCTCTCCGCCATTTCCCTTTTCCTGTTCCTACCGTATTTTAGCGAGCAGGGAAAGTCCCCCACTATACCTCCCTTTCCGCCACCATATTTCTTGGCGGGAAGGGATCTTATCCTCGCCGGCCGGTATGCTTTCCTCTGTCCTTCTTTCGCTACCGCCGCCGGCGCCGCATTTTCTATTATCCATTTGATGCTGAAAAAGGGGTACGCCTTCTTGACTTCTTGTGTACGCAGAATGAAACGAGATATCAAACATAAATTTAAATTCTATATCGGGACACTCGTAATCGGGTAATAAATCGCTCGTTTATTCATCAACTATTTATCTCAAGCCTATTTATCTCAAGATTTGTTTTAAAAAAGTTATTTTTTTCATGTTGCAGGAGAAAAATGAAGAAACAAAGAAACAGAAAAAGGAGGAGAATGGAGATGGTGAGGTAGAAGAGGAAGAAATTGAAGAAGAAATCGAAGAGGAAGAGGAAGTAGACGGTGATGGAGAGGAAGATGACGACGATGACGACATACCAGAAGGTGAAGAAGATTTAGAAGAAGGAGAAGGTAAATATGTATAAGATTTATCCAACTATATCTTGAATGGATTTTTTAAAATGAAACTGTTTCTACTCACTGAAACACGTTTATTGTTACCATTACAGACGAAGAGGATGATGACGCGGAAGGTGAGGTAGAAGGTGAGGTAGAAGACGATGAAGACGACGCATAATGAAAAAAGGGAAAACATTATGCAATTAAGAAGGGAGGCGTTAGGCACGTGACGACATCATGGTCGATTTTTGGCAAACTCAGCAAACTTACTCTCATATTGAGTGGTTGGTAACAATGTTGATATCCATCGTGCCCAATCCGTGTTATTGGATCCTCTCTATCTTCCGACCTACAAGTAAAAATTACCACCTCACCAGAATTGTGGTGGGCTGACGCATTAGATGTAATTCTCTACTTGTCTTGGCTTTTCGCAATTCTGGTTTAGCCGTCACCAAATGCTATTGGGTAGTTTGAATGATAACTGTATATTCGTCCTAAGGATTCGATGATGAGGATTTGATCTTATTTGCTGTCTAGATTCTTATTTCCATCGCGATCGATCGTTCTATCGTTCATGTGCACGATTCCCAAGACGAATCTACCGTTTTATCCGAACCACCTACTAACTGGTATTTGCCGTCATCTGGCTTTCTTCGTCGGGACAATTAATAACAAAACTTATTTAAGATATAAAAAAAAAACTTATATTTAAATAGTGTAAAATTGATATTTGAAGGTGATGATTTTTTTACATTTAAAATCAAATTTACGTTTGTAGTTCGACGAATGTCTCTCACCTTGTGCGTGTGATATGTTGAGTTCTTCTTCTCGAATAGAAATGTGTAATTGCAGTGTCTTCACAGGAGCGCGAGGCTATCGAGCAGAATTAAGCGATTCATACGTAACATATACGGCAAATAAATAAAGTAAATAGGCATGAATGGACATCTACTAAAATGAGAGAAATCTTAAAAATAGACGTAACACCGCTTCGTGCTCCTGTTTGGTATAGAGACAGGAATTAAGGTAAATGCAACGCTCGCGTCAAGTAGTATGGATGAATAACATGTGACTTTAATATTGCATAATAATTATACATAGCATGTATAAAGTTATGGGATAAGAAACATTTTATTATTAACGATAATATTATGTAAACGTAATATAATGCGGAGAGGTTGTTACACTTTAAGCTTGGGCATAGATAAGGGAGAGCATCGAACAGTCAACTTGTAAAGTGTAAGGGCCCCATCACCCTTCTCTATTCATTTCGATCAACTATATCATTTTTTGTAGAAGATAAGAGTTCAATTATATACATAGATAAATCTACACACACAAACACAGACACACAAATATACATATATATATGTATATATATATGTGTGTGTGTGTGTGTGTATGTATGTATAATATAATATAATATATATATATATGCACACACGCGCACACACGCACACATACACAACACATATATAAAATTCCAGAACTGCCGTACATGACGCGAAATTATAAAAGAGAAAAGAATTTCAAACTACATATTGTGAATTATGTATTAAATACTCTCCCTATTTTTAAATGTTCTCATTTGAGTGTAACTCGAGCGTTTCAGTGTTACTTTTATCTTATTATGATTTTATCTCGACTTTATTGTGGACTATTTTCATGGCAATGATTCTTGGACTGTTGTAAAATGAGTTAGCGATATTTATTCATTCTCATATTTTTCCATGTATACCTACATATATAGTCCACGTTTCGATATGTTAATGACGATATACACCATCAAATTTGACGATGGTATTTAAAAATTTTTAGTAACCTACAATGTTGACATTGATGATAATGATGATGTTGTTTTGCTGGTTCAACAACTGAAAAGATTTCTCTTTGTGCAAGAGTCGGCGAATCATTGCGATTGGCGTGTCCGTGTCGCTACTTATTTTCGGGAGACTGTTAGATAAAAGGGTGAAGAGACATTGCGGTTATACCATTGTACCATAGCAGCATAATAATTAAATAAAGGTAACGATAATTTGAATGCGAGAAGATGTCCCACGTTTTAATGTACAAATATTTTCGAATGAGATAGTTAAATAAAACGCAGTTAGATCAGAGAAAATGAATTTGTTCTCGTAAGTAGTGATGAGTTTAATATCTGAAAACTATGAGGAGAGATGAGCGGTAAAGGCTGCTCGAAAACCACACGGACTAAAAATCCCTCTGTATGGAAACCAAGGAGATGGAGGTTGGACTCGTGTAATGTTGATACTTACAAAAATCTCTTACCGTCGGACGATTCGATGGTACAAAAGAAAAAAAAAATTCGAATACTCCTCATAACATGTATGTAACGCGTCCAACAAAGCCGATCGATGTCATTGTGATGCGTGCAGGTCATACCATCTCCGGCAGTCTCTGTTAATCTACGATTTTATACGCTGCTGTATTTACACGTGTTTACTTCAAGATAGTAACTTGACGATAATTGGCAAAGGACTATCTTAAAGTACAGGTGCCTGAGCAAAATCAGTACTTTAGCGTTTCATAGTATACTATACTATACATATTATAAGCATAGGTCCATTTAATTTTATTAAATACAATGCCAAGCCCCGTTGGCAACACACAAAAAAAAAAGAAAGAAAGACTTGCGTTTTGTACTGTGTCAAGCTCGGCAGAGTACTCTTCTTCGCGCTCGAGTACTCGACGCGATTCACAAAATTCACTTACTGGTGCTAACGGGTCTTACAATCAATCAGGCTGATCGCCCACGTACCGTTACACCCCTACATTTGTTAGGTAAGCATGAAAAGAAGTTTAAGACATCAAATCTGGTAAATGACATGTGTGTCACACGATTTAATATAAACGAAAATCCTAGGCTAAGAATTTGGTTTGTGTGTTCATAAGTCTTGTTCAAGCTACTTTTGTACAGGATACCATTTGCATCATCTCTTTCAACGTATTACAAGTAACCGACACACCACAGACTATATATTTCTGCCCATTCCATCAAAACTGAAACTTTCATTGTATTTTTAAGTAAATACATTTTGGAAAACAACACGGATGGCTTTTTTATTCTTCACATGTGTGTGAAGCAAATTATTTCTTCCCCGTTTGTGGATTATACGTATACTTGCATAATGTATTGCTACATCCTTGCGAATACATTTGTGCAATTCAGGGACGCTGCTTGAGAAAAATTGTAAAGTAATATTATACGACAGTTGTATGCCGTATATATACATGTATGTAAGCTACATTTTTATATTGAAATAATCCAAGCGTTCACTGCCGACTTTTTCATACTAAGTACGAGAGCGCTACTTATCGATCGATGTTATGTAAATATGCAGTCGTAACTGTAAATATGCACTTTTGTTGTATCTTTAAACAGGATATTAAGTGCTCACAAAATGATCCGACACAGTAAACTAAGGATCGATGTGTGTATATATACATATATATATATATATATATATATATTTTACTGTTTTTTCATTTTCCATTGCGTTTAATTTTCTTCTAATGTTTATGACAATGCTTTTATGAAAGGACACATTTATGCATGACATATGATGTAAAACAGCAATAAAATCATAAAATTTATATGAAATTGTTAAAGTCAAATATCACATTTTCTTATATTTATAACAACTTTTTATTTACATTATTACAGGTATATGGCAAATAATAAAGTATAGTTTCTTAGATATAAGATGATTCCTTATAACATTTCCTGCACGTTACAGTAATAAATTACCTGAGGTGTATGTGATTGTAAAAATATATTTTATATCAAAACACTGTCATTACTATGTTACTTAATCTAATAAAATTGTTCGATAGATTAGAGAATTGCACTTTTTCTCTTACTATTATATTTTTCTTAAATAAAGCTTTTATAAAACGTATATAAAATGAAATCCTGGACCCTGGACGGAACATTCATCGAAAATTTTTGAGTACGATGACTTTTCAACGTCTTTTTACTACACCCTTTCTTTACATTAATTCTTAATATATAATCATATGTCAAGTGTGTAAATGTACAAAGTGCGATTTTGTAGAAATGTATGTAACTGTGCAAAAAAAAGATAAAGCTATTGTAACAATAAACATAGAAAACGCATGCAAATATTCATATCTAATAATTTACAATATTGCCTGCAAATTTATTCACTTCGACACAATTTCTTCTGATTATTACGCTTAATTCCATTTGTCGCAAAGAATATTGTATAATTTATATAGGTATGAAAAACAAGTTATGAACTTTGATCACAGACAGAGCATTTACCTCGTGCACCACACAATCAATATTTCATACATCAACACTGTTTTAATAACGTCTCAATTTATAACGTCGGCAAAACGAACACTTCGCGCCAATATCGCTTTCAGATCACGGACTGAACAATTTATCTTGGACAGACAGTGCTGATTATGTATAATTACATAAAGATAAATTGTATATCACAAGCAACTGAATATCAAAATTCTATATTGTTCAGCTAATGCTCGCCGATGAGTATATAACAATTGTGTATCAAATATCTAACTATAGAGCAGAGCATTTCCTTTTGTTCATTTTGTCATGAAAGTTTATACATTTTTCTAAACAATGTATAAACTATAAATTAAATGTAAATGTAAACAAGATACAGACTGCATATCGAAATAAAAAAATTTATGTCTTATATATACTCTTGTAATTCAATCGATTTTTTCGAAGGCAGTGAAGAAAGCACTAGTGTGCATAAAACTGTAGTTGAAATATGAGTTTCTTAATCATAATTTCTTTGACCAATCTGGCATTAAGCCAAAATAACATTAGGTTAAAAGGTTAAAATGCTGTAATGCTTCTAGCTCTCTCTCTCTCTCTCTCTCTCTCTCTCTCTCTCTCTCTCGTAGTAATAGTAGTAATGTAATAATGCTTCTATGTACTATTTAGTACGAAATCATATCTTTTGATAAAAAGTTGCTTCAGTTATATTCTCAACCATCATTTTCTCGATTAGTTGTGAGTATCTTATTATCCAAAACTGAAAGTTCTTGGTTCACATTTATCCATGAAATACGCTCGTTCATGTTTCTTTCTTCAATGTTGTTCACAGACTAAAATGAGACAAAAATTAATTTAAGAATTGTATATTGTATATGTATGAACAATACTCTGTTCAAATATTAACTTGCACGCGTAAGGTATTTACTTGTATAGAATCGGAGATGGATAATCCAGTTGATAAATTTGCGGTAAGGTTTCCAAAATCCGCAAAATCAGAGGAATTCCAGTTAAGATTGTATTGCTGACTGTCCATGTCTAGCAGACATGAGACTCCTGCAGTGTCTAAAAGATTGATACATCAGGGCTGTGTTCAGAATTTCACTCGGGTGAATCCATATATTATTTTATCTTTGTTTAACATTCGATGAACAAGTAAAATAGCATATAGGTACATATGTGGATAAAGTTTCTGAATATAGCCCAGAATATAAATAATTGTTTGGAATGTGGTAACGTCTAACTTCGTGTGAAAATGGTTGATTCAAATCAGTGGATCTCAGATTTAATTCTCACCATCACGACATAATCTCATTGTATAAGAAGAGATTGAAGAAGAACGATTAAAAAGGTAGATTTATAGATCTATATCAAATCTAAGGCGGTTAAACGTTTGTTCAAAAAGTGCTGTAAAAGTTCTGTAGTTTGTATACAAAAAGAGAAAGCCTCCCGCACTTCAGATTTATATGAACGCATAATATAGACAAATTTGTAGAAGATTGAAAGCTTAGAAAAAGATTTCAACTTCATTGCAATTTATGCGTATATTCGGCTGTAAACCACCTTGATTATATGGCGTTACTCCATAACAAGTTTAATTCCTTTTGATTTAATTGCGATTGATTTGGTAACTACAACTGATAAAATGACTTATAAAATTAAAGTCCAAGATATTTGATTGTTTCTTTATTAATCGAATGTTTGATTGATACTGTTGTATTAGGTGTTGGAATTAATTCGTAGCGTTTTTTAATGAAAGAATGTTATTTATTTCACATGAGCATTAAAAAATACATTAATGAAAGTACTTCCCATCACTTGTAAAACGCTACGAATTAATTCCAACACCTAATATTAAATATGGATGTACTCCATAAGGAAACAATGATTATATTAAACAGGAAATTACCGATGTTATTTAACGGCTGTAATCCATCTTGATTTTTTAATTTTAATTTTTTTAATTACAAGTTCAGTTAGCTGATTCAATTGCGATTGATCTGATAATTGTGGTTCATTATAAAATTGAACATCCAACATATTTGGTTGTTGCATTACTGGTGTAACGTTACTTGGTTGATACGGTTGCTGCACCAGAGATGGGTTGTAATCCATAGGGGATGGTGTTCGTCCTGGTGATATCTGAGGCCTGAAAAATATTAAATACAGGTATTTGAGTGTAAAATTTCTGTTTTTACATTTTTATTTAGTTCTATTCATTCTAATCTTTTAATCTTGACTGTTAATTTACCTTAAAGTTTGCATACTGATGTGTGATTGCGAGAACGAACTTATAGGTTGCAGATTGAGATTGCTTGTATTTGCACCTGAACTTCCGAATAATGGTATCCGCTCGACTGGTTCAGCTTTGATGATATTGTAGCCAATAAGTTGATTCCCAGTAGCTACAATGTTACACAGAACATGCATGTACTTTTTTTATTACGAAAACATGATTCTTTTAAAGCAATTAAAATAATTTTGATCCACATGCATGATGTTGTGAAATGATGTTATTAATAATAAGCATGCAAAAAAAAAAACAGAAAATCCTCAATGAAGAAGCGTGATTTCATACGTATTATACATGCAATTTTATATATTTTCACTCTCAAACTTTTCAAGTTGAATTCCACAAACACTATTTTGTATTCTAAATAATTACGTCTAATTTAAATCATTAATAAAAATAAATTTTCACACTGAATACAACATTACTACATCGTACCTGAATTTTCAACATGTATCAATATGAATTTTTATCTGAAATTGTATGGGAATAGAGAATAAATAAACACTTTTTTGCATCAAGTGATCTATATACATATATATATATATATCTATATACAATATGTAAATATATTTATCTGTTCACAAAAGAAGCAATTTATAAAAATTATATTACCATAGAAATATTGTACATTTGATTGTACTATATTACAATTACTGCACATATATATGTACATACAGGGAAAGTTTGATTAAAAAAAGTTCATCACTTATTTTTTTCGAAAACGGTTAGAGATAAAGGGAAGATATCTATTATCAAAATTGTTTTCAGAGAAATATTTTAATATAAAGTATTCAACTGATTAAATACTATCTAGAATAATTAAAAAGTATTCAATAGAATGACTAAAAAATACCCCTTCCCAATAAAAAAATCTTTTAATTAGTAATAAAAACATCAAGGATGTTTAAGGTTCCAAGATCATCAAATATGTCTCCCTATTTATCCTACAATTCTGATATTTGCATTTTTTTGCATATTTGCATATTATTTACTTTTTCTTATCTCTAACAGTTTTCGAAAAAAACGTGGTGAACTTTTTATCAAACTTATCCTATATATGTATATATTATACATATGTACACACACACACATACATGCACGCACGCGCGCGCGCACACATACATACACACACAAAACTTTCTGAAAAGTACATTAATTATTGCACAAGAGCATCACATACTCGCATTATACGAAGTGTGAACTATGAAACTTTTACTTATAGACTATTATCACGAGTAATGATTCCATATAATAACAGTAATTTTTTGTTACAAGATTTAGAGACGTATTTTATACTCGCTTCTCGGAATCAATCCCGTAAATGTACGTAAATAGAAAAATACAATATTATCATATCTCAAAATATACAAGCTCACTGCTCCCTGGTCTTTTAAATTCAAACTCCAAAGTCCTATGTAAAATACATCTTTAAAAAAGTATAAAACAAGTTTTTTGCTTGCTATGTGAAAATATATGTGTAGTAGTTTTTAGATATAATGAAATGACTTATTTATTAAGCTTCTCTTTCCACTATGAAAATTGTTCAACAATTTTACAGCTGTACGTCAAAACTGTCGGCGAAAAACGAGAGTGTTACATTACATATGTAACAATTCTGAATTTTTGTATCATATTTTCAAAGTGTAAAGAGATTAATCAGATGATTTAATCAGATGGTTAATGTATGATAAGACATAAGACCAATCGAACGTTGACTGATTAAAAATTATGCAATCGTTCGTACAAATACTGCAACTGTTTCTAACAGTTTGTATGTATCTTAGTGTTAGTTTTCTCAACAAGTTTATCATGTTTGTCGTAACAATTAACAAATGTATCAAATAGACCTGCTAAAATATATAAAAACTTCATCGTAAAAGGCCTCTTGTTTCATATGCATATAAGCGTATACTTCATTTTTGCACAAAGAGTGTATGTATATTTATATATTGATTACAGCAGATAGAAAATTGAAGGATTGCGAGTGAAAATAGATAATTAGCATTCACTTCTGACATTCATTCCTTCGATGAGAAACGTGATATAAAGATAAATAGCATGATTTTTACATCAGATGATGTTTGCAGATTATCAAGATGTTAATATAATGTAATATCAATGTTGCCCACCATAATCCTATTAGTTATAGAATTATGAAGAATTCTGCAAATATACTTACACTTCTCAGTTTCGGCTACTTGTTTGGTAAGTATGGAGTTGTTACTAATCTTTTTTATCTTTCGCCTTAATGAATTGGCATCATCTATAAATGATTACACATTAATGAGTAATTTTAATTATAACTTCTTGTTAACATCGCGTACAGTTGCTCTAAATGAAGAAGGCTTCATGTATTTAAACCTTACGAATTTTCCTACTGTACATCAATAAAGTTACTCCAAAAGAGTAACTCTGAGCAAACTAAGGATTTTTGTTCAGACATTTTTAATCCTAAAATAGATTAGGATATAAATGTACCTCAAAGAAATTTCGAACTACTCTACTGAGCTAGAAGACGACATTTTCGGCTCGATCCATAATTTATTTTCACTTTTTGGGAATAAGATCAGGCAGGTCAGTACGCCAGTCACTAACTGCTAGTTATTACACAATTGATTATTGCATTGACAATTCACTTAAAGCACATTTGTACCCCATTTTTCTGTGTTTGTGTCAGTGTTTCGTACAGGTAAGTCAATTTCATTTTCTATGTTAAAAGTAATATATTTTGTGTATAATTACGTAATTTAAAAGTATCGAGTCAATAAATTAATTTATGTTATAATTTTTAGATTTTTAGATTATAAATAAAATCAATCCAATTACATCGCCTTGAATATAAAATATTCGTAATATAATTTTCGTATATAATTTTCGTATGCAGCAATACAATAGAACTTTTTACATTTTTACATTTTAATTAAAAAATATATCTACAGAAGTGTAAAATAATTTATTAGTGGTTTTTCACTGTTTTTTCCATTTTCTAATTTTTTATATCCGTCGACAGTTATAATTACATAATTCTACATTTTAAAAGAGTGCAACAATAATTTTTTTTTCATAGCCCAAAATTTTTCTTTATTAGAACCTTGTTTAAAATTTAATAATTGATTAATTAGAAAAAAAGTTGGCTATTTTTTGTATGAAAAGGCATTTTTGCGTTTTTTTTCGATACTTTTTTCGTCTAACTTCTGATTAAGTAAATTGATTTATTTATAAATTTCCAGCATACTAAGATTTCTTTAATAGAAGCCTATTGATCAAAATTTAATTATGATATTGTTTCAATAGTAGTTCAGCTGCGTTTTCAAGTCCGATAAAATTTTAGCACGCAGTTCAAAATGACTACAAATATAGTATAAATATGGTACAAATATGGTTTTGTATGTACATATCTAGTATATATATTATATATATATATATATAATTCACATTGAATTATTTAAGCAGCAAAGATCCAGCTTCGACCTTTATGGGCCTTTAATTCTTATTTCTTATTAATTGATTCTCACACGGACTAATAAGATTTTCATATTGTTTAAGCAGATTGAATTTAATTAATGCCATTCTCTTCTTTATTAAAAGATGAAAAGATTAATCTATTAGGTGTTGGAATTAATTCGTAGCGTTTTTTAATGAAAGAATGTTATTTATTTCACATGAGCATTAAAAAATACATTAATGAAAGTACTTCCCATCACTTGTAAAACGCTACGAATTAATTCCAACACCTAATATTATTGAATCCTTCTCACATATACAAAGTATTTTACGCTATGATAAGAATGGGGTACCCTTGTTTCCTCTTTAAAAGGCCAAAAAAAAAAAATACTAAGATACTAAATTATAAAGCAGTTTATAACAAGATAAAAAGGAAAAAAAACATTTGCATATACATTCATAATAAAATTTAACAATAGTAAAGCAACAATGAGAGTATAAGAAAATATACAGCATCAAACTTGACTAGAAAAAAGTATTTAGTTAATCCTTTGATAAGAGAGAGAGATAACAATTATCGAAAATTTACAAATCATTTGTAAAAATCGTTAATAGGAAACATTAAGAAAAAACTAACAATTGCACTTAGTTTAGACTAGAATTTTGCACACCTAGATGCGTCGATCTTACAAAAATCGATCCATTTTATGTGGCAACATATCTCTTAAACAATTCTCGATTTTTCTCCGTAAAAATCTTTGGTTTAAAAATACAAATACATTCTTAAATGAATGTCACGTCAAAACTGCAAATATACAAGAGTTGACGATAGTAAAAGTTTATAGCTGCAATGCAAGACAATATTCCTCACATTTCGGCAGACTCAAAATCGATAGATTCAAACAACATCATTAATTCATGTACAAATATTAAGTTATCTTCAACTTGGCAGTATATAAACAAAAAAGAAATATTAAATAGATCAATAAAATATCTATCGAATAGTTTAGGTCTCTTTTGTTTCCGTCAGTATTTTCCCATCTTCAACTAGACTATAATAAAAAGACATTTCATCAAATTCTGAGGCAGTCGCGTGTGGTGCCATAGTAGTATACAGAGCATAGTGCTCAGCCTCAGTTAAATCTACACCATATGATGCTTCATCGTCATTTAGCTTAAGAGATTTAACACTCATACTAGGACGTGGACTTTGTGATTGTATAACATTTTGCACAGTACTCTTCGATAAATATGAAGTATTCAATGACGGATCACTATCTCTACTCAGATCTGAGCATTTGTCTTTTTTAATTTTTTTAGCAAATAATTTCGAAAACAGTCCTTGTCTAGCATGTTTCGATAAAGTACCGGGTAAGGATGGCAAATTTTTATTCGGTGCCTTGGTGAGTGAGGTAGTGAGCGTTTGAGCGGATATTGGACGCGGCAAAAGTGGCATTGACGGTGTCTTGCGTATTCGCTTGGGAGGCAAGGGTGGCAATCTTTCCTCTGCCTCATGCATTACATCTCTCTTAGCTGTTAATGTTACAGACATAACGGGCACTTCCGCATCTTGTTTAGAGACGGCTACATCCTCGTATTTTCTGTCATCGGTAATGTCAAATAACTCTACCGGATTTTTCATAGCCATTTGTAAACTGGTGTAAGTCTGATTGTCACAAACATCAATTTCCATCATTTGTGGATTGGTCTCAGTAGCAGCTTGTATCAACTTGTTATGTGTATCAGCATAAATTTGATCAAGCTCAGCCACTTGCGATAAAAATTCATTAAACGGTTTATTGTCACCATCTGTCTCATTTT